CCTTCTATCTGGGACTCTTCCTAGGTATCTTCATGGCTGACTCCCTCACTTTGTCAAGGTGCCTTCTTGGATGTTATGTTATCAGAAAACCCTTCCATGACTGCTCCCACCTCCTTCTCATCATCCTCTATCTCCTTACCCTGAATATTTTTGTTTGTGTCATTCATACAGCTGTTTTTTATTGGGTGTCTTACTCCCCAGTCTCCATCAGATGTAAGCTCCCTAGGAGCAGGGGCCTAATTTGTTATGCACTGCTGTATTTCTAGGTTTTAATACAGTGCCTGGCACTGTATCATAGTAGCCCTTACTGTAGTAGTAAATAATTATTTGTTAAATGAATCCTACCCACTCAGGGACATAGGACATATCCTTTGTCTTTTTCTAGTTGAGTGACTTTCTCAATATGCTCACCAATATTAGCAGTTACAATTTTCCTCCTGCCAGTTAGCCAGATTTTATTTTACATTTAAGTATTAATAAAGTTAACATTTTTGTGGGTTATTGCCTATTTGTATTGTTTCTTTTTTGAATTTTTATTTCCATTGTTAGCCCATTTTTAAAATTGAGGTACGGGATTTTTCTTATTGATATCTAAGGGCTCTTAATATTAATATATTAAGCACTTGTACGTTTCCTCCCAGTCATTTAAGAAGGAATTGAAGGAGCTGGACAGATGGAGAAGAGGATGGAAAGGGGGAAGGGACCCAAACCTAAGGGGACATCCTTGCCTTTACCTCCTTCTTGAATCCCAACCTCATATTTCTAACTTTCTACTGCATATTCTACTGCTACCCTAAACTCTGCATGGCTAAAACTCAGTGTATCATCGCGTCCCCCAAGTGATGTCTTCCTGTTGACTTTTCTATTCATATTCACAGTACTGCTCTTCTCTCTGCTTCTTGGGTTAGAAACCTCTTGGTCATGTTTTTCAGTTTCTCTTTTTCCCTTTCCCGTTCTTAGTTTAGACTTTCAGCACTTTTGCACTCCAGTGTCCCACAGTGGGTTCGCTTTCTCTGTCATCTCACTCTCATCTATCTTGCATGCTTCCACAATATTAATCGTTCTGAAGCCTGAATCTTATTATGCCATTTCTCTGCTAACAGCCCTTTAACATATCCCCATTATTTAATTAATACCTTACAGTGGCATCAGATGTCTCCTGAGACCACAAATCACCCACATTTCTGTTTATCTCACTTCCTAACTTGTTGGTACTATCCACCGTCTTTGACCATCGCTGCACTGCCTGCCTCTGGGCCTTTAAGTCATGCTGTTCCCTGTCTCAGAAATGCTTGTTCTCCCATACTTGCCCATCAAAACCCTTCTCATCCTCCAAGGCTCAGATGAAATGCTGTTTCTTTCTTGAAGTCTTCTCTGGTCATGCAGTCCAGGAGGGATCTCTTTCTCTTTCAAACTTTCATGATACTCATGATTTGTCTCTTATAGGCAGTTGTTTTATTGACTTGCTATTTTTGCCTGTGTTTTATTTACTCTCATGGATTATAAACCCCTTGACAGCAAGGATTTTTGTCTTGTTTATCTATCTTCTTACTATAGCATCTAGCACCAGGCCTCGCACATAGCAAGTGCTCAGAAACTCAGTTCAATAAATTAAGGAAGTTTGAACAGCTCAGAAACCGTATTATAACCCTACATAAAAGACTAATTGAAGATCATTTTCAAAACGCTTTTCCACATTAGCCAGATTGTGGTTTGACAAAACTGGATTTTGTTTCTTTGTATCTGGTTATTTACAGATCAGATAGAACTGGGATAGAATTGTCACACTGGAAAGGATTGCCTCTTGTTTTTCTCTACCTCCTTACCTGTTTTCAGTTGCAGTCAGATTTTGTTCTCTCCATCTTCTAAATGTATTCACCAAACCTGTCTACGCTTCTCTAGAGAGTAGTTCTCAAACTTGGTTGCACATCAGAAAGCACCTGGGGAGCTTTGTAATTCCTGAAGCTCAGGCCTCACCCAGACCAAAGGAAACCAATCTCTGAGGGAGGATGCAAGCATAAGGATTTGTTTTCATAACTTGCCAGGTGACCCCAATGTACAGACAAGGTTGAGGACCCTCTGAGAAGGACTGTTCTCAGACCCTCATGTGTATCAGAATCACCCGGCAAACATGCTAAAAAATGGGCCCAGACCCTAACCTTCTTCAGTGAGCTGTCCTTTGTTCCTTTATGAGCTCCCCAGGCTATTCTAATCCACACCACCATTTGAGAACCCCCTCTAGCTAAACCTCTCCCAGGTAATATCATAAAACCTAAGTTAAAATTCATGGTTTTATTCACAACGTCCTAGAAAATGATGTTTATTGATAGGAATTTCATAAAGCCTCTTTGGGGAACACATCAGCTTACATGTTGAAAATATGTTTACAGATGATGCTGTCTTCATGATGGCATCTCCTAAATGTCAGGACATTTATTCATAGATTTAACTTTTAATGCAAATGAAGTTTTTTTTTTTTTTTGGAATATGATGACAACTATTATTTTCTGTAAAAAAAAAAAAGGAGAACATGAGATGTCTAATGTACACCTGTGGGATAAATCCACTACTCCTCTATCTGCATATCCTTGAGTGTCTCTGGAGTAGATGAGAAATAATTCTGTAATGTTGAAGGCTATTTCTGTTAGAGCTTAAGTTGGGATACTGTACAGAGAATTTTGGTTTCCTTTGTTCATGGATAAAAATAGACTCAAAGGACTGTCCTTAACACTGGGAAAAGGTTGTATGAGATTGAGACTATTGTTACCTATATTGTCCATCTGAATGCTTCCAATGCATAGAAAATCAAACTCCTGTCTTTTTTTTTCTGGACAGATATTGTGGAATTGTTCGTTTTTCACATTGTTGGTTACTATTCATCTCTGCTCAGATTCATCAGGCATGCTGCATTTCTCCCTTCCTTTGAAATATTTTCATTTTGGGTTAGATGCTCTTTAAAGTCTCTTCTGGTTCAAAAAGTCTATGATTCTGACCCATTGGCTTCTCAACTTGAAATAATCAGGCTTTTGTCTCCAAACATGGCACTCCTAGCAGGAATAACTCAGCATAGGATGAGCATATCTGCTTTACTTTTGATTTTTCCATTTATTTTCCCAAAAGGGCTTTGCATTTTGAAAGGTTTCATAGCAACTGAGTACCTAGACCATTATCATTGATATGGAGTAGGTGTAGAGCTTCTAGAAATGTATGTATAGTATACATTGATTTTATTTAACAAGTAAATCAAACATTTCAAGCTTTTCAAGCCTTTGAAAATTTTAAAGGCTGACAGAAAGGAAATGGATATTGTTAGTACAAATGACATACAGCTCTCTAAATGTGTTTTGTTTTTACTTCGTTCTCTATTTGTGGTTACTGCTCAGGAAATTTTGTACTTCTTAGTGAAGTAAGGAAAGACTGCATTTTCTTCTATATTAAGACATTAATTTTATGGAGTTACTACATCAGATATACTAGCATATCTCAGGATTCATTTAAAATGGAAGACAGCAGAGAGGTTCAATTGAGTAAAATATTTCTTTTGTCTGATAACTGAAAAAATGTGCAATTTCAAATGTGTTTATAACTTTTTGTCTGTGGCATTCTTTTGTGTTATTGCCATTTTTTAACACCTGGTGTGATACATGTCTATTTACTTTTCCTTCTGATAACACTTATTCTTCACTTCTTTCCTTAGAAGATAGAAGTGCTGTTTTATAAAAAGTACAATTGTATGGGTTGTAAGTATTCTTGTTAGGCAGCAGAGGGCACTATGGGGCAGAGATTTCACAGGAAAAGGAAAGGTTTCTGAAAGATACTGGGCAAGTGTTCTGGCTTCTGTTGATTGACAGCTGTCTTGAATTATCCAATGACATGGTCCAAGTTCCGGTTTCATTGAAAGGATCTACAAATGTATATGTAGAAGGGGAAAATAGGCAAATAACGAAAATGAGATTTTTCATGTCCTTCAGATAAATAGTTCTTTTCAGAAGAGGGCCAGTATCAAGAAAAAGATTCTTTTTAAAAATTGAGTTATAATTCCCGTATTATAAAATTTATCCTTTTAAGATGCACAGTTTAGTGAGTTTAAGCATATTCACAATGTTGTGTGACCATCACGCCTACTTAATTCCAGAACGTTTCATTACTCCAAAAAGAAATCCTGTACCCTAAAGTAGCTACTCTCCATTCCTTTCTCTCCTAGCCCCTGGCAACTACAAATCTACTTTCTGTCTCTATGGACTTGCCTATTCTGGACAGTTCATATAAATAAAATCGTACAATATATGGCCTTTGTGTCAGGATTCTTTCCCTTACTATAAAGTTTTCAAGCCTCATCCATGTTGTAGCATGCATCAGTACTTCATTCCATTTTACGACTAAAAAAGTTCCATTGTATTAATATACCACATTTTGTTTATCCAGTCATCAGCTGATGGACATTTGTGTTTTTTTCATGTTTTGGCCATAATGAATAATGCTACTGGGAACGTTTGTGTACAACGATTTTGTGTGAACATACTTTCTACTTCTCTTGGGTGTATACCTAAGAGTGGAATTTCTGGGTCCTATAGTAACTATGTTTAACTCTTGAGGAGCTGCCAAATGGTTTTCTATAGCAGCTGTACCATTTTATATTCTAGTAGCGTATGAAGGTTCCAACTTCTCCACTTCTTCACCAAAACTCGTTATTGTCTGTCTTTTTGATTATAGCTATTCTAGTGGGTGTGAAGTGGCAGTTCATTGTGGTTTTGATTTGCATTTCTAAGAAATAGAGGCTTTTAAACATTTAGGATTCATGCATTTATTCCCAAACTACAATCTACCTTGCTATATCATTCTAAACAAACCATCCTTCCATCTTTTGGATAGTCTATTGGGCTATAGTGGAATGAATTTTAATAGTGTTTTCCTTGCTCTCTCCCCCTCCCCACTTTCCTCCTTCTCTTTTTCTCTCTCCCTCCCTCCTTCCCTTCTTTTCCTTCCTTTCTTCTGACCAGATGCTGACAAAGCTGCTTTCCTCATGGGCGTTAACTCCTCTGAGCTGGTGAAGGGCTTGATCCATCCTAGAATCAAAATTGGTAATGAATATGTTACTAGAGGCCAAATTTAGAACAGGTAAGGTATTTCCAGAGCATTACGATTCTATGATCTTGTAGTAATTGTATACATTTTGTATTTGTGTATTTTTCAACTTCTGATGATGTCTGCAACAAGAACTTCTATAAAAAAGTGACTTTGGTAAGTATTCCAAATGTTTTCATCTGTGATGTACACCACAGTAAATGCTCTTGTGTTGAGTCTTTCTAGTCTGAAATATACCATTTTGACAGCTTTCCCTTAGGTAACAAGTCTCTTGGCAGATGCAGACAAGTCCTTTACTTGTTGTGATCAACATCTTTGTTGTCCAGCTAAGAAGTTTTTAAAGCTATTGGTTTCTGACATGAAGAAAATTGGCAAATTGACATCTATCACCTATTTGGAATATTGACTTTTTAGGCAATCAGACACATTCATTAAGAGTTTCAGAACATATGCTGAAGTTAGCATTTGATTTGAAGAAAGGGGAAAAATGAGACTAGAAGTGAGAGATGGAAGGTCATATAGGTTTTATTCAGTATTCAGGAGAATGTTTTAACTATAAAATAACAAGTGCTCTGAGGACTGCTGATCCTGAGGCTTTGCAATAAACAGTCCTAGAGCTGCCAGGTAATGAGACCATCTAAGTATGCTAGTGCATTTCAAAATAATAATTTACATCTGTTATGTGTTAGTCAGTATGAGGTAGGCCATGCTGCAGTAATACACACACAGTAAAATCTCAGTGACAATAAAGTAAGCATTTATTTCTTACTCATACCAAGTCCAATACAGATTGGACCACCTTCTTCAATTTTGTACTTAGGCAATCTGGAATGCAAGGCCTCCCATGTTGCTGCACAGGGGAAAAGATGATTTGTGAAGAAAGTGCACCCACTTTAAATGCTTGGGGCTAGAAGTGATATCACCTTTACTAATATTCTATTGGTGAGAATTAGTCGAATTCTCTCCTTAGCTACAAGGGGCTCAGAAATGTAGTCTTTCTGGAAAGAGAAGTGGTTTGATCACATATAATATATATAAAGCATTCAAATTATCTCCTTCCATTCCTACAACAATACTCAGAGTTAAGTAGGGCAGGGATACTTAACTTATGTTTTTTCCAGTTGAGGAAACCAAGGCTTAGGGAACATAAATAACATTCCAAAGGACATACAGCTAGTATTCAGGTGACGCTTAGACTGTCTTACTCTGTATACATCTTAAATCTGAAAATGAGATAGACAAATGTGGAAATTTGTGATAGAAGACAGTTATTCTGACTACAATAAACTCTCTTTCTTTTGGTTTATTAAGGCATCTGGTGTGACTATGTTATTTAAAACAGTTCAACAACTAATCAAAATCAATTTCCTAGTTCAGCTTACTCTATAAATCAATAATTCTTCCTCTACTGTAATACCAATTCTATGGGAATAATTTGCTTACATTTTTGTCCTCTGTGGTAATCAGAGTTCCTTGAGGCCATGGACTGTGTCTAATTCATCTTAATACCTCAGCATCTAGCACAGTGCCCTGCAAGCAGTAGGTGCTCCATAAATGGTTGGGTTTCTTTTTTTTTTGCATCTTTATTGGAGTATAATTGCTTTACAATGTTGTGTTAGTTTCTGCTGTATAACAAAGTGAATCAGCTATATGTATACATATATCTCCATATCCCCTCCCTCTTACACCTCTCTCACACCCTCTCTATCCCACCCTTCTAGGTGGTCACAAAGCACTGAGCTGATCTCCCTGTGCTATGCAGCTGCTTCCCACTAGCTATCTATTTTACATTTGGTAGTGTATATATGTCAATGCTACCCTATCACTTCGTCCCAGCTTCCCCTCCCAACCCCTGTGTCCTCAAGTCCATTCTCTGTGTCTGTGTATTTATTCCTGTCCTGCTCCTAGGTTCATCAGAACCATTTATTTTTTTTAGATTCCATATATATGTGTTAGCATACAGTATTTGTTTTTCTCTTTCTGACTTACTTCACTATATATGACAGATTCTAGATCCATCCACCTCACTACAAATAATGCAATTTTGTTTCTTTTTATGGCTGAGTAATATTCCATTGTATATATGTATCACATCTTCTTTATCCATTCATCTGTCGATGGACACTTAGGTTGCTTCCATGCCCTGGCTATTGTAAATAGTGCTGCAATGAACATTGGGGTACATGTCTCTTTTTGAATTATGGTTTTCTCAGGGTGCATGCCCAGTAGTGGGATTGCTGGATCATATGGTAATTCTATTTTTAGTTTTTTAAGGAACCTCCACACTGTTCTCCATGGTGGTTGTATCAATTTACATTCCCACCAACAGTGCAAGAAGGTTCTCTTTTCTCCACACCCCATCCAGCATTTATTGTTTGTAGATTTTTTGATGATGGCCGTTCAGACGGGTGTGAGATGATACCTCATTGTAGTTTTGATTTGCATTTCTCTAATGATTAGTGATGTTGAACATCCTTTCATGTGTTTGCTGGCCATATGTATATCTTTGGAGAAATGTCTATTTAGGTCTTCTGCCCATTTTTGGATTGTTTGTTTTTTTGATATTGAACTGCATGAGCTGCTTGTAAATTTTGGAGATTAATCCTTTGTCAGTTGCTTCATTTGCAAATATTTTCTGCCATTCTGAGGGTTGTCTTTTCGTCTTGTTTATGGTTTCCTTTGCTGTGCAAAAGCTTTTGAGTTTCATTAGGTCCCATTTTTTTATTTTTGTTTTTATTTCTATTTCTCTAGGAGTGGGTCAAAAACGATCTTGCTGTGATTTATGTCATAGAATGTTCTGTCTATGTTTTCCCCTAAGAGACAAACTTGATTTTAAAAACTGTTTAAATGGAACTTTTCAGTACTAATAGCTCTTGTTTTGAGGAAAATTTTATATTAATTTTAGCAATACTTTCACCTTCACTTGTTTCTCCTCCTGTGAATTTTAAGTAATATTATATTTAATACTTTTTTTTGGTGGGGGTGAACTATAGAGGATAGTTTTTTTCTTCTTCATCATTTTTTTTCTTTTCTTTTTTTTGGGTTATTTTATATTGTTATTTATTTATTTATTTATTTTTAACATCTTTATTGGGGTATAATTGCTTTACAATGGTGTGTTAGTTTCTGCTTTATAACAAAGTGAATCAGTTATACATATACATATGTTCCCATATCTCTTCCCTCTTGCATCTCCCTCCCTCCCACCCTCCCTATCCCACCCCTCCAGGCGGTCACAAAGTACCGAGCCGATATCCCTGTGCCATGCGGCTGCTTCCCACTAGCTATCTACCTTACGATTGTTAGTGAATATATGTCCATGCCTCTCTCTCGCCCTGTCACAGCTCACCCTTCCCCCTCCCCATATCCTCAAGTCTGTTCTCCAGTAGGTCTGTGTCTTTATTCCTGTCTTACCCCTAGGTTCTTCATGACATTTTTTTCCCCTTAAATTCCATATATATGTGTTAGCATATGGTATTTGTCTTTTTCTTTCTGACTTACTTCACTCTGTATGACAGACTTTAGGTCTATCCACCTCATTACAAATAGCTCAATTTCATTTCTTTTTATGGCTGAGTAATATTCCATTGTATATATGTCCCACATCTTCTTTATCCATTCATCCGATGATGGGCACTTAGGTTGTTTTCATCTCCGGGCTATTGTAAACAGAGCTGCAATGAACATTTTGGTACATGACTCTTTTTGTATTTTGGTTTTCTCAGGGTATATGCCCAGTAGTGGGATTGCTGGGTCATATGGTAGTTCTATTTGTAGTTTTTTTAAGGAACCTCCATACTGTTCTCCATAGTGGCTGAACCAATTCACATTCCCACCAGCAGTGCAAGAGTGTTCCCTTTTCTCCACACCCTCTCCAGCATTTATTGTTTCTAGATTTTTTGATGATGGCCATTCTGGGTGTGAGATGATATCTCATTGTAGTTTTGATTTGCATTTCTCTAATGATTAGTGATGTTGAACATCCTTTCATGTGTTTGTTGGCATTCTGTATATCTTCTTTGGAGAAATGTCTATTTAGGTCTTCTGCCCATTTTTGGATTGGGTTGTTTGTTTTTTTTGTTATTGGGCTGCATGAGCTGCTTGTACATTTTGGAGATTAATCCTTTGTCAGTTGCTTCATTTGCAAATATTTTCTCCCATTCTGAGGGTTGTCTTTTGGTCTTGTTTATGGTTTCCTTTGCTGTGCAAAAGCTTTGAAGTTTCAATAGGTCCCATTTTTTAATTTTTGTTTTTATTTCCATTTCTCTAGGAGGTTCTGATCTGGTCTTTATGATTTATTTCCTTCTGCTAACTTTGGGGTTTTTTTGTTCTGCTTTGTCTAATTGCTTTCGGTGTAAGGTTAGGTTGTTTATTTGAGATGTTTCTTGTTTCTTGAGGTGGGATTGTATTGCTATAAACTTCCCTTTAGAATTGCTTTTGCTGCATCCCATTGGTTTTGGGTCATCGTGTTTTCGTTGTCATTTGTTTCTAGGTATTTTTTGATTTCCTCTTTGATTTCTTCAGTCATCTCTTGGTTCTTTAGTAGCATGTTGTTTAGCCTCCATGTGTTTGTATTTTTTACAGATTTTTTCCTGTAAATGATATCTAGTCTTATAGCATTGTGGTCAGAAAATGTAGTTGATATGATTTCAATTTTCTTAACTTTACCAAGGCTTGATTTGTGACCCAAGATATGATCTATCCTGGAGAATGTTCCATGTGCACTTGAGAAGAAAGTGTATTCTGTTGTTTTTGGAGGGAATGTCCTATAAATATCAGTTAAGTCCATGTAGTCTAATGTGTCATTTAAAGCTTGTGTTTCCTTTTTTTTTTTCATTTTGGATCATCTGTCCATTGGTGAAAGTGGGGTGTAAAGTCCCCTATTATTATTGTGTTACTGTCAGTTTCCCCTTTTATGGCTGTTAGCATTTGCCTTTTATATTGAGGTGCTCCTTTGTTGGGTTCATAAATATTTACAATTGTTTTATCTTCTTCTTGGATTGATCCCTTGATAATT